CCTCCTCCTCCTCCCCCTCCCCCTCCCCTCCCCCCCCTCATCCTCCTCCTCCTGGCCCTGCGGCTCCTCCTGGACCCGAAGGGGCAAGCAGCGGACGCCCCCATCGGATCGCGGACGACCCGTTCGGGCATGCCTCAGAGGAGGGAGGGGTGAGACAAGGGTGGCCTTGGTCTTTGAGGGGGGGGTCGGCCTTCGGGCCCCCCCCTAAAACGGGATTTGATTTTAGGGAGACCGGTCTCCCTAAAATGAGAGGGGATTTTAGGGGGACCGGTCTCCCTAAAACGGGACTTGATTTTAGGGAGACCAGTTTCCCTAAAATGAGAGGGGATTTTAGGGGGACCGGCCCCCCTAAAACGGGATTTGATTTTAGGGGGACCCATCTTCCCAAAATGAGAGGATTGAGATTTCAATTCAGATGGGATTTTAGGGGGACCGCCCGAAAATGGCAAGTGATTTCCCTGTCGATTCAGATGGGGTTTTAGAGAGACCAGTCTCCCGAAAGCAGAAGGGGACTTCCTGGAGCCTCCTGGGGCCTCCTCGGCCATGATTGGGGCCAATATTTATGTACCATCTCGGTTTGATGCCAGCGTTGTCCAATGGCGCGCGGGTGATCTTATGGGGAACTCCAGACCCAGTGTGCTTCCCAGTGCTAAACGTCAACCACAGTCAGTCCCGCAAGAGCCGTCTCACCGCCGCGGCGGAGAGCGCGATTGCACACGTGGACTCGTGCGTGATCAAACGCTTGCAGCGAATGTTTGAGGCGAAGGACAAGGCGCTCAAGGACATCATGGCCGCGAAGAAGCGCAAGACCACCAGGGGCTCGCAGGCCGCGGAGACGCAGATTGAGGGCGCGCTCGGGGCTGGCGGTGAGTCGAACCCAAACGAGCTGGATGACGGCAAGAGCGGTGGCGTGTTCCCTGGAGTTTGGTCTCACGCATTCCTCGGCGGTGCCATCGAGCGCGTGCGCGAGCGGTGCGCTGGCGACTTCTCAGTCGTGCACCAGACGAAGGCGGTTGCGAGGCTACCGCCCATGCATACTGACTTTTTTGATAGAGCAGGGCTGGGTGACCTTGATGTCGCGGAGACGGCGATGGCGACTCAGAGCGGCATGCATGGGCGGGTCTGGTGTGGCCAGGGGCTCGTTTACGACGAGATCTACCAGTTTCTGCAGGGTCCTAGTATTTTGGACAAGCCCAACGAGAAAAAACTTAAAGATGGCCCAGGAGCAGGGCATACGCCGGTGGCGGGTTGGTTCAATCGGCTCGTGCAGTCTGGGAAGTCCGACCACGAGACCAAGTCGAACGGCTCGCACGGTGGCCTTGCCTCTCTCCCAGTATCGACATCCATCTTGGGCAATTTCCACTCGACACCGTGCATCGAGATGTTGCGCGGCGAGCGGGGCGACCACGGCTGCCAGGCCAAGGCGCGCGTCACCGCGTTCACCGGGTTGCCTGTTCAGCCCCGCGAGATGTACGTCAATCTCGACGGCGCAGCATGCCCCGCGGATTGGGTCGAGATTCCTGAAGAAATACGTCCAGAACTCGGCGCGGGCAGTGCTTTCAGCTCCGTCAATTGTTTCGAGGCGTTCTTCCGCATCGCGAACGAAGACGAAGAGGAGGTGGAAGGTGCCAGATCGGGCGAGGTGGGCGCCGAGGGCGCGAACCATCCTTCGTGCCCGACGCGGGCGGGCTCATCCACACGCTCCCAGACTCAGTGGAGGCGCGCGTGCGCATGAAGTTGGTGGAGGGGCGGTACGTGCCTTAGTGGTTGCTCCCGCGGCGCGACATCGCGACCCCCGTCGATGTCGATCTAGGCGCGAGGGCGGCTGCGCTGGTGGAGCACTGCGCCCAGCAGGGCCCTCATCGTGATATCGTCCTTTCGGCGGCCGCGAAGGGCAAGTTCGCCTCGTATTCGACCTACTACAACATCATGGTGAAGACCGCTCGCGACGCGAACGACGCGGACAAGGGAGCAGAAAACGACATCGGGCCATGGAAACTTGGCATGATCGCCGCGTGCCTTCTTCTCCTGGGCATCATGTGGAATCAGGCGGGGCTCGTGCACATGGGGATGACTTGGGACATCCAGGGCTCTCACATGGAGCGCGCGTTCAAGCTGGCGGGCATCCTCGACGGCATCCGCGCCGCGTTCCGCGACGACGCTGCTGTGGGGCGGCTGGCCATGGAAGAGAACGAGAGGGCGCCAGCGTCCACCCGAGCTGATAAGGAGCTTGACAACGCGGCGGTCGTGAAGAACATGCCAGGCACGGATACTGCGCGCCGCATGCTCAGTAAGGCATCTACGCGCGCGGACGGGGAGGGTGGCGACACCTTGTTCGTGCCCGCCAGCAGGGCCCATGGTTTGTGGACGGCCAGGGGGTCTAAGGACCGCGAGATCGGGAAGATGTCGGTGCGCGTCTTCCGTAGCGCGGCAAAAGCATGCACCCCGAAGCTCGGGAGCTACCGCGCCGAGATGGACGCCCTGGTGCTTGTGGACGAAGCCGCTCCAGATTGCGAGCCCAGCGTGGAATTCAAGGAGGCTCTGAACAATTACGCCAACATGACATGGGAGCAGTTGGACACCGCCGTCAAGAAGAACACGGCCGAGATGCGCGGCAGCAAGAAGCGGGGCCGGAAGGCGTGAGGTGCCGCCCGAGCGCGGCGGTTGGTCGGGATTGTGGCGCTCGCGGGCGCGGCGGCTGGCAGGGGGTCCGACTCGAGGGGCGCTGTAGTCGGTGGGGCAGTCGGCGCGCGCGGATGATTGCAGTCGATATCAGGAGATGTGGGCGCTGGCAGGAGCGACTTGTCCACCCTCTTGCTGTTGCCCCAGTCGTGGCCAGCAACTCAGCCGTTGCGTCATTATCAATGCCGCCCTCCGCCGCCGCGCCTCCAAGTTGCCGCAGGTGTGGGGGCAAGGTGTGGGGGGTGTCTTGAGCTGTCTTGGAGAGGGTTCGCGCGCGTGCTGCAGGCGTCTCGGCTCAAAAATTCGCTTGTTTTCCGAGACCGTCTCGCAGCTCTGCGCGACTCAAGTTATTCGCGCGTTTTCCATGGCTGCTCGCGCGTTCGAGGAGGCCCAGCATCTCCAAGTGCAGATGGAGCAGAGCATCGACTACGTGGCGTACCTGCGGTTTCTAGGACTGACCAGTGAACGCGCCATGTTCTCCAGACATAATATGAAAAACGTGCAGGGGCCCCGGGGGGTCGCACGGGGATGCCCCGCTATCGACGAAGCCCCCAAGAGGATCTCATGCAGGTTCACGGCGTGCTTTTGGAGCTGTATTCGGCCCTTCATGGGCACTCTTGGGGCGGCATGAGACTCCGCGCGGGATCCCGGGAGGCTCGATCCGGATTCTTGGCCCCCGAGCGCCCCAGGAGAAGAGCTTTTCAAGAGGAACCAGGCGCTCGTGGCGCTCGCGAGCGGGAATTCTTCTGCGGTCGAGACGATCGGCGGCCTGCGGAACATCTATCAGCTCGATCGACAGGCGTGATCTCAAGTATCACTCGCATAGTGGCGAGCCTTTCCCATTGATGCGAGATCCCTCTGGATCGATTTGTTCGGTCGGTAGGTCGACAAGGCCGCGCAATCGACCATCGGGCATGCGACCGGGTAGATCTGGACCCCCCATACTTTGTGATATCTCAAGGTCCCAGCGGACATCCTGCGGACGATCGCTGCTTTCTTTCAGCCGAGCAATCCCGCCACTCAGCCCAGCGACAGCTTTGTCCCGTACCCCGCGCTCGCAGGCGCCGACAACGACCCGGTGCCGATGGGGAAATCTTGCGCAAACGGGCCACAGTGTTTCTGGCGGCTTGGTATTGATATCAGAGCGCGATGATCTTTGTGTGTTTGGCGGTGGTGCGTGGTGGCGCTGGTGGTGCGTGGCGGTGGTGGTGGTTGTGGTCGTGGTGGTGGTCTGTGCATGTGTGCGTGTGCAAATCGGATTGGGTTATTGGCGCGCTCCTCCCAGGTGCTGCCGCATCACGCTGGGCACTGGCTGCGCGACCACGTGGTCGTGGATCGCGGTTTCGACCCCTTCCCGCCCATCAGGCACGACGTCGTCCGCGCGCGGTTCAAGGTCCGTGCGCTTCGCGCGGCCATGATGCGCGTCGCGGATGATTCGTGGCACCTCCGCGTGTTGCTGTCGGAGGCCAGGATGAAGCACGCGTCCGCGCGGGCGTCGATCCAGAAGTTTAGGGGCCTGGGTGATGACGGGGTGGTCCGCGAGGTGGTGGGCCAGGTCGACGACGTGGAAGATCTTGTCGAGAGGGTGGTCGCGCTCGCTCTGGAGTGAGGTGGGCGACGGCGGGCCAGCGCACGAGCCAGCTGGCAATGGGGGCGCCTAACGCAGGGGTTGAGCTGCAGTTAGAGCGACGGACGCGATTTAGAAATGAAAGCCCGCCTCTACAGCAGCGGTTGGACCAGGCACGGGGGCGGGGCGCTAGGGGGGGCCAGTCGAGCCAGGTGCGAGAGCCGATGTTGGAGGGAAAGATGCTGACGCAGCTGCGGTTCGGTTCCGAGTACCGTGGTCGCCGAGGCCGATCTCGCGTCGAAATCCAAGTCAGGGCACTCGCCCGCGGATGTTGGGGGAGCAGCGCCATCGGTGTGAATTTGTCTCCATGGCAGTCGATGGTGCGTGTCATCGCCCCAAGGGCTGCTGCTTGCCTGGCGTAGACCAGGCCCGCCTGTCCCCGCGCCTGCGCGGCCCGCGGCGCCGCTGGCCAGGCGCCACGGGGGCGCGACGAATGGCGAGGCCGCCAGCTGTCCGCCCTGTTCAGCCCACCATCGGCAAGCGGCCAGCCGCGAAGGCGGCAATCTCCAGAGGGCAGGTGACGAAGAGGCCCGCTGCGGCGCGGGCGGTCGCGAAGCGGCCAGCCGCGACGTCAGTGAAGCGCTTTCGACATGATGGGTTGGCGCAGATGCTGAAGGAGGAGGCCGCGTCGTGGGCAGGAAGGCTCGCTGACGACGACCTCGGCGAGGGGGAGAACGGCCTCGAGTGCCCGTTCTGCGCTCGGATGTTCGAGAGGAAAGACCGGGCTCGCGACCGCGCGTGGCCCCACGCAGCTGGCAAGCTGTCTTGCTTGCATGCAACCTTGATTGATGACTGGAAGCAGGTGACGCATCCAGTGCTGGCTTCTATCGTCCGTGCGTTGCACGACCACGACGTCGTGACAGCGTCCGAGAAGCGCGGCATGTATGCGTCGAGGGCAAGGAAGCTGATAGTTCAGTGGGCCAGATTCTCAGCACTGCCAGGCGCGCGTCGTTCCATGTATTCCATCATGGGGAACTACGACGGCTGCATGGTGCTGGCGCTGACAGCCGAGGGGCCAGTTTTCTGGTTGAGGGGCGATCAACGCTTGGAGGGGCGCAGGCAGTTCGGCGAGCACAACTGCACCATGGATTTCGCGAACGCGTACGCACGGCAACTTCTCGGCGCCAGCGGCGTCCACGGCAAGGCATTTCGGGCAGTGGTCGCCGAATGGTTGGCGCGCGGGTGCGAGGTCACAGCGCTAGCGAATAGGCATTCGCAGACGATGAGCGCCCTGGCGCTGGACATCATGAAGTCAGACGCCATGCGCAGCTTCGTCGGCAGCCTTAAAGTTAAGGTGGCCGACCTCGGCGGGCTTCGGTCCCTGTCTGTCGACGCGACGTACAGGGTTGCCTTGAAGGTCGACGGTCGCTCCAGCTACGACAAGCACAACGTCTTCACCGTCCTCGGCTTCCATGGCGAGGTTGCTCGGCCTGGAGCCATCATACGCGGAGAGCCCTGTCACCGTCTGCAGCGCGGCGGAGCGCGCGGTGCCAGCGGCGCTTCGTGACAGGGTCGAGCACGTGGCGGCGGACGTGGTCGGCCACCAGCTGGTCGCATCCATGCGCGAAATATTCCCGAATCTGATGGGCATTTCACTCGACCCCATGCACTTGTGCTTCTCCGCAGATCGGCATTTCGTCAAGCGCCGCATGCGCCCGACAGTCGCGGGCTTGGTTCTGCGCTCGGTCACGGGAAAATTCAGCCATCCTGACTCGTCCAGATCTCGGGAGCCTTTCTTCGACGGGACCCAAGTGCCGCATCTGACCGCGGCCGAGCGAGCCCACATTGGACACATCGAGCAGGGCGACTTGCAGCCGGCCGCGGCTGCGCGCGCCCTGAAGGCCATGGATCCCAACGTGCCGATGCGGTCTCGCATCGATTTCTGCAGGCTGCTTGCCAGTTTCGTGGCAGTTTACCCAGACCGCCTGGACACGAAGTATGACAAGGTCACGTTCCGTGAGCAGTTGGTGGCGGCGCGTCGACCGAGTCGAGCAGAATGGTTTTTCAACAATGTCAGGTACCGTTCTCGATTAACGGTGGATGCTAACGCCTTGCTTGGCACTGGCACGACCAGGAGCAAGCAGGCGCACGCCGCCCTGAATTCTGATTTCAGGCAGACTCTTCGCGTGAGCCAAGAGATGCTTGCAGCCGAGCTTCGGACCTGGGGCGCCATGGAGCTGGCGCTCGCGCGCCGGGCCCTGGCAGGTCGCACGACTGTCCGGGTGAAGCATGCAAGCATGCGGCCGTTTGTGGTCGCTTCGACCCAGCTGTTCGAGCAAGCCAGTTGGTCTGCGCACCTGAAGTGCGCGCAGGCGCAGTTCGAGAGTTTTGTTCCCGAGGCGACGACGCGGCGAATGCCGCGCCATGGTCCTACAGAGCGCCAGGAAGAAGTATTCCGGTGCATTCGGGACGCAGCGCGCCCGGGGGGGCGCGCTGCAATCTTCGACCTCTCAACCAAGAAGGGGTGCGCCTGATCTTACCTCTGGCAGCGGCGGGGTGAGCTGCAAAAGTTCATGCCCGCGCTCTTTCCTCCTGCGCAGCCTCCAGGAGAATGGGGCCCCACTGCGCTCGCAGGAGGCGGTCCCAGTTTCCCTCGGAAAATTAACAATTTGGCCGTAAAAGGGTTTTTTTTGGAGGTCCCTGGAGGTCTAAGGATGCCCGATCATGCTTCAGGAATCCAAATGGAGGTCCAATCGTTCACTGTCGAGTGTAGTGCGTTTACCGATTTGGCATGCCCCTAATGACAAGTAAGATTGGCATATGCAGATATACACCCGTAACTATGTATACAGTGCGATCTATGTGAGCAGGGTGAACATTCACACACACACAGATATGTTATAATATGAATAATGTATCCCACCCTAGACATTGCAACATTGATGTGCTGGTCACATGGTACACTTTATAAACCGAGCACATTCCGTGTATATGCATGCACACATCTTATTATATACGTATAGTAGTACATGTATGAACGTATGTATTACACAAATACAAACAAAACGCATGCACATACATATTTGTATGCATACAGTAACATGTACGATAAAACTATGTAAGTGTAACATATGTACTTAACAATAAGTATACCATTTGCACTAAATCATAAGTATGTGTACTCATATATAGTACAGGTGAAAAAACGGTACGTTTATGATCACACGTACATGTTGTGATACATACACTAG